AGGGGCGCGGAGGGGGAGGGGGGGGGTGGTGTGATGGGGAGGCAGAAAGATCGGCGTGAGATGCGGGTGCGATGGGGAGGGTATTGCCGGTGCGGTGGCCCTGTAGCGCCGGGAGGGTGCCTCAATATGAAGCCCACCCCCGGTGTGTCGCCCCCCCTCCCCCCCCCCCTCCCCCCTTGAGCCGGCCGGAGTGCATCGCTCGCTCCGGCCGACCGGCCGGGGCGGCCCCCGTGCTGTGCCCTTCTCACCCTCACAACCAGCCGCCGTACATTTCCTGGGGGCTTGGCCGGCCAGGGGCGCCGGGCGCACGGCACCGGGCAGTCGCCCATTCGGCAGAGCTTCACCGTGTGCGGGCGGGGCGGAGGGGGGAAGGCCAGCGTGCGGGTCATATCCCGGCCTTGTCCCAGCGTTGGCCCTCTCCCCTCGCCATGGCAGGTCAGAGCTGGGGGGGGGGGTATTCCCGCCTGGGGTGTGTTTGGTTCCCTGACGCCCGAGGAGCAGGGGGAAGACCGGCGCATGGTGCGAGGCGGCCGGTCACCGGGGCCGGGTCCCTTGCCAGCGCGATCTCCGGACGGGCTGGTGATGCGAGCTCGCCGACGCACACCCGCATGAGTACGCCCGGCGCACGCGCGCGCGCGCGCCCAGCGTGGCTGGCCCCGCGCCATGACCACAATCGCGCCCCCGGCGGGCGAGAGCAAGACATTTAACTGATTCCTTAATGGGCCGGGATTAAATGCGGCCCCGACCCTTCACCCACAACACTGGCCGGAGCTCATCCCCCGGACCGGCAGCCAGCCCAGGGCCGGTATGTATGTATGTATGTATGTATGTATGTATGTATGTATGTATGTATGTATGTATGTATGTATGTATGTATGTGTGTGTGTGTGTGTGTGTGTGTGTGTGTGTGTATCGCTGTGTCTGTGTGTCTGTGACTATGTGTCTTTGTCTGTGTGTCTGTGTGTGTGTGTATGTGTGTGTCTGTGTGTGTGTGTGTGTATCTGTGTGTCTGTGTGTGTGTGTGTCTGTGTGTCTGTGTCTATGTGTCTGTGTCTATGTGTCTGTGTCTATGTGTCTGTGTCTATGCGTCTGTGTGAGTGGGTGTCCCTCTGCCTCCGCCTGCCCCCGCCGCGCTTCCCCCGGCCACACCGCCGGCAGGGGCCTCTCAAGCCGCGCGCCCCCGGGGGCCCGGCCGGAGGGGCCATGCCACGGCGGGGCACCAGGGCGGCGGCCCGCTGTCGGACCGGGCGCGCACCGGCGCCAAGGCCCTGCAAGGGCTTCCGGCCGGTTCTCCCCGAACCGGCGGTCCCCTGGCCCGGGGGCCCCCCACATCCACGGCGTATGGCCCAGAGGACACTGCCCGGCCCCTACCGCTGGTCTTGCGCCGACATCAGCGCCCTCGGCGCCGCACCTGGCCCGGGCCCGGGCGGCCCAGGTCTCCCCCGTCAGCCGGCCGAGTCAGGGCACGCCCGGGGGCCGGACCGGGGCGCAGGGACCCCCGGCCCGCCCGGGCCCGGGTCTGTGGGGAGTCGCCGTGGGGCGGAGGTTGGCGCCTGGAGCGCGAGCCCTACAGCCGCGGAGCTGCTCCAACCCGGCCGGACGCGGGGCGCGGGGTGTGTGCCCAGCCGCCCGGCTGGCCGGGCAGGGCTCCCCGCCGAGGGTCCACGAGGAGGGCACCCCTTCGCGCCCTGCGCGGCCTCTCTGCCCCTCCGATGAGGGCCACAGCGAGAGGGGCGGACCGAGGAGAAGCCAGGCGAGGACGAGCGCCGGGCGGCAGGGGCCGCGGCGGAGGGGGGCGGGGGCTTTGGCGGACGGCACCCTTCGGGACGCTGCCCCCCTCCCGGCGGTCTGTAGCCATGTCGACCGGTTCGGATGCAGTGTGCCT